ACCACCACCACAGAAACTACTACCTCAGAGACAACGACACCTACCACCACTACCACCACTACAGTAACAACTACCCCAGAGACAACAACACCTACTACCACCACCACCACCACAGAAACAACCACCTCAGAGACAACAACACCTACCACCACCACAGCAACTACTACCCCAGAGACGACAACACCTACCACCACCACCACCGAAACAACGACCCTAGAGACGACGACACCTACCACCACTACCACCACTACAGTAACGACTACCCCAGAGACAACAACACCTACCACCACCACAGCAACTACTACTCCAGAGACAACGACTCCTACCACCACAGAAACAACAACACCGGAGACGACGACACCTACCACCACCACCACCACCACAAAAACAACGACACCTACCACCACAGCAACCACTACCCCTGAGACAACGACACCTACCACCACCACCATTACAGCAACGACGACACCTACCACCACCACTACCCCAGCAACAACTACCCCAGCGACGACGACACCTACCACCACACCCGTACCCGGATGTCTGGTACCTAATACTAATATGACAGTCCCAGTAAGTATATTTCACATTTTTATTATATGTCTATGAAAGAAGATCATGTTGTACTACTATATGTGCAATTTGGAGGAAGCAATTGTGTGATATTTTAATTAATTCATTAACATAGTGATCCTCTGTTATGCTGGGTATATAAAGATTTTTCTATCTATGTCATATTAATTTCTTGGTTATCGTCATGGCACTCGCGTGACCCTTTCCCTCATTATGGTATCTTAGACACTCATAGCATTCTTTGAATTTAAGCTCTCAAGTGGCATTTCTTCAAGGGATTATATCACAGTGCAGAGCTGTGAAGGAGCTTTGGTGAAAGGGTGACAACAAGGTCTCTTACCAGGAGCAAATTCCGCCTTCCATCCCTTCCTCTTTATCTTTCTAGTGTTTGTCAGAATGATTATGCCAAAGTATTAACTCATCTACCAACCCAAATTACTCATGAACTGTATCCTGGATTAGTTTTAATTGGCCTCATCCTGAATGGCACAGAGAATGTGTTGAAAACCTGGAACTCCCACTGAAGTCAATAGCCCAGCCCCTTTCTGGATTGGCTCAATACCTTCTCAATCTGTAGCACATGGCTGCTGTCTCCTAATCAGTTGAAAACGTCTTAGTCTAAAACAGTGGTACTCAGCCTTATAGAGACAGAGACCCCCTTCATCATCAAATGCAGTTGCAGGGAGACAAAAATAAACATGCTATGACATACTGACAATGTAAAATCATCCTGTATTGTCATGATGCATGGATGTGAACATCTCAGGACATTGCACCAGAATTACTTTGTGTCTCACTGTGATTCTGTTTTACATGATCAGATCTCCCCTCCATTTTGGCTCTTTGTTCTGGGAAAGGGCATGTTACTCCAATCTTTTTCCATTTCTAATTCCATCTGGAAAGAAACTTGAGGCACTTCTTGTAGGGCCAAAGAGGGGTCTTGGCAATGCCAGTCCATTTTCTTTTTTGCCACTGTGCTCTGCCTTGCATGCATCAGGTTGCATGGGGACCAGTCCTCTGATCAGCAGGCCTCTGAAGCAAGGAATAGCAAGAGGAGCTCAAATCAAACAAATTTAGGTAGTGCCTCGTGAAGTGCTCTGAAGGGGTGTATTTGCCTCTAGCAGGACAAGGTTGGAATCACTGCACTAAAGACTTATTAAAGTGTACAAAGTTTTTACAGGCACGGCATATTCACCTGCACCTTTACTTTTTGCTTGTGAAATGTGACATACAAAATACATTTGGATCCATCTATTGGCTGACTGATGATACTGTTTCCAAAAAGACTATTAGTTGTCAATAACTTGGGTGCAGCTGCTGTTTTACACTGTGACCCACGGAAGGAAAATCAGAATAGAACCTTGGTGACTGGCATTGAGCTCATAATAAATCCTTTATAGTTAATAATTAACAATGCAGCAATCTCATTTTACAGACCTCGATGATGGTACTGAATGTGGTGCTTTATTCTCACTTTCAAATATTTGTTTGGGATAAAGATGTTGGCAATATAAAGCTGTGTAAAATATCCAGAAATCCATTTTTTCCTTTATTAGTCTGATTGCTTCATTATAGATCTCACCTTTCCTCCCCTCCCTTCTGTCTTAAATCCAGCCAGGTGGAATCTACTGGCCATGTAACTGCACCAAGGCAATATGCGTTAACGACACGAAATGGGAGCTGGTTACGACTGTATGTGAAGACCCTCCTATGCCCAGTTGTATCAATGGGCTCGCTCCTGTGCGGGTGAAGGATGAATGCTGTTGGCACTGGGAGTGTGACTGTGAGTATATAGTTGGAGGGATATTTTTATCTCTGATGGACCAATAATAGTTTTAAGAGCTACAATATTTGTAGTGGGGGCAAGTGCTGTGCAAGTTAAGCCCCTCATATCCCTAGCAATGCAATTCAGTCTTAACTGTAGTACCACTTTCTAGCTTAGTCCTGGGTTCCCTCCCAACTCTGCCACAGCACTTGCTTTTGACAATGTTTCATGAAATGCTATATTCTTTAATCTTTCATTTTACCTTTTTAGTCTATTAAATTATTTGAATTATTCAATTACAAATTAATATGTGTGAATCCTTGATATAAATTAAGGTTAACAATGAAAAAGTGCATTCATATTTTGTTTTTCAAATTGTTTGGCTCTCGCAATTTTTTCTTTGATAGAATCAGGTCTGTGTAGATTATATCACTTAGTTACTCATGTTGACTGGTAGCTCACTACACAAGTAGTCCCATTGAAATAATTTGGCGTAAGGTACTACATGGCCGAAGAAAAGTGGTGGAATGTGGCCCCTATATATTACATTAAAGATGAGTCCAAGCTGCTAAGTTTGGATTCTGAGCCAGCTGCTTGACATTATCTTGAACTCTTTGATCCAGAAACTGGGCTGGAGCTCTCACAAGCACAGGCCTACTTGTGAGATTAATGGCACTTACTGATTTCAACTTGGTAGGAAATAGCAGAACAGCCTTTTTCAGAAAATGTTTGACGTCCTGTTTGAAATCTGGAGATCCAGAAAATGGAGAATGGAAAGAAAGAAAGAAAGAAAGAAAGAAAGAAAGAAAGAAAGAAAGAAAGAAAGAAAGAAAGAGTTCAGCTTCTTTAAATATGAAAAAAGTTCTAGTTTGGGTCCAACTGAGGTCTTAGATTAATTTCTCTTTATTTATCTATAGTTCGCTTCATTCAGGTTCTCTCGTTCCTATTTGACTCCAATGCTAGTAGGGGAAATTGGTCTTCCACTTACTAAAGACTTTATTCATAGTCTAACTCTGCTTCTATGTGTTACCATATACAGCTAAACTAACTCTGAATCTCTTGGTAGGCTATTGCACTGGCTGGGGAGACCCACATTATGTGACTTTTGATGGACAGTACTATAGCTACCAAGGGAATTGTACGTATGTCCTGGTGGAAGAGATTAACAAAAATATTGACAACTTTGGGGTCTACATTGACAACTATCACTGCTTTCCACAGGACAGAGTGTCCTGTCCACGCACACTCATCGTGAGACACGAGACCCAGGAAGTGCACATAAAGACTATCACAATGTTTCCTCTCAAAGTACAGGTATTGGAAAGTGACTAATAAACCAAATGTACATGCTCGGACTGATATTGATATACAGCTACACCTGCCCTCACTTAATCAGATTCACATCTTTATATGCTAGTGGCACTCAAACCTGGTAACTTTGGTGGCAGCAATGTTAGGAAAATGGGATAATTGTTCTGTGGGTTGCTTTGAAGGAGTTTTATAGGGACACTACTTCATCTGCATATAGAAAGAGATCATCCCCCTCATCCCATTTTTAAACTCAGATCTTTACAGTCCCCTGACCCTTCAAAACATGGATTATAGGAAGAATCCATTTTATCTGACAACATAACAGGGAATACTGTATTATGACTTTTAAGGATTTTAATGTAGATAACAGTCCAAAGGAATAAATGTTATAGTATAGCAAAGGGTTTCCAATGAGCAAGGATCATCCCATTGTCCTTGTAAAGCAGGATTGAGGGAGGGCATTGGATCATTTTGGGGTTTGAACAAGGGGGCACATTTGAATTAGAGATGGGAATCAAAGTAGTAGACCAAAATGTTTCTAAAAGACATCCTCAACAGGCCAATGGCTTGGTGATCGTAGTCACACCTCAAGATGGGTTAAGATACTTCCATTTCTGATTTTTCAAGTGAAGGGTTGTCATCAGTTTTATGTCATCGTTTAGCCCCCATGTTCCAAGGATTAGGCTGTAGCATGTAATATAATCTCTTTTCTTCAAAATGTGTTGGAAGTACTTACTTTTAGGATTCTTCACCTCCTTATTTTCCATCAGCAGCTCTCTGCTGACTTTTGGACTATTAAGGTGGGGAATTTTAGAGGTGCAACTACAGGTAAAGTGTTGCAAGACTACAACATAGGTTAAATTCCCCATTGCCTTCTGAGACTGAGCAAAACTTATCAGTCCTAGATGAACTTAAGGGGGATGCACTAGGCCAGTGGTTCTCACACTTGTTTGATCGGGTCCAGCTTCTTTGTATGTCCGTAGTCATTTACGCGCCCTCCCCACAAGTACATGTACTGCCACCCAGCTCTGAAGGTAGAGCAGACAGCAGCAGCTACTGGCCAGGCACCCAGCTTGGAAGGCAACACTGCACCAGCACAGACGTCAGGGTGGCAATGTGAAAAGTGATTTTCATCAATATCACTTTTCACAGCAGACTTAGAAGTAAAGGTGCAGCAGTGCAGAAGTAAGGGAGGCGATGTGAAAAGTGGTATTTGTTTTCACTTTTCACCGCAGACTTAGCGCCCCATTGCTAGCCTTACTTCTGTGCTGCTGCTGCCACCGGGGGGCTGACAGGCACAGCCCTGCTGCCCCAGGGCTGAGAGCCTGAGCCACACTGCTTCCATGTAAGGGATGGGGGGAGAGAGCCTGAGCATGGGCTCCTTCCCAATGAGGGATTGGTAGGGGGGGAGCCGGAGCCTGGGCGGTGGGGCTCTGGCTGTCCCCTTTATCCCTGCCTCCCAGGTGTGCACGGCCCTTCCGCACAAGCCCCAGCCACCCAGGGTTGACAGCCCGAGCGTTTAAAAGACAAACAACACCCCCCCTCCCCACAGACCTCCCTTGACATATTCCTGCATCTCCCTTGGGAGGCCCACCCCATAGTTTGAGAACCACTGCACTAGGCCCACCACCCGGTTCTGAATTAGTAAATACGATTTTTTTTCTTCCCATATTTCATTCAATTCCATTTTCTAACAAATGTAGATCCAAGGCTTCCCTTTCTTTGGAGCTTTTGGGGAGAGAGAGAAAATTTCAGCTCAGGTGCAGTGAAAATGTAGCATGCATCTCCTATGATGTTTAACAGGGGCTGCATTCTAAATTCCATCCTAATTTCTCCAAAATTCTGCAAATGTATCCCCAGGCTGATGTACCCCTTCATTGGGTCTTAAAGAAAGAGTTCAACATTTCAGTCACATACGCAAAAACATACAGCTCATTAGAAATAGAAAGCAAGGAAGCTTTGAAACATAAACACAACATTACTTTCCTTTACATTGTATCTCCAATGTAAGTTGGATAGATTGTTTTTATGAACATCATACAATATGTATGTCTCTTCTCCATTTTCCTTTAAACAATAGGTGACGGTAAACAATCAGGAAGTGGCTACACCTTACAAAAAATACGGCGTGAGAATCTTTAAGTCAGGCATAAATCACGTAGTGGAAATTTCTGAACTTGGGGTAAATGTAACCTACAATGGATTGACTTTCTCAATTAGATTGCCCTACCAGAAGTTTGGCAACAACACCCAAGGACAGTGCGGTGAGGATCTATTTTTCTACTTTTAGAATGAAATACAAAAAGTTAAATGTAAGCTCTGGCAGTAAGAGAGACGTGATGATGGTTCTCTGTGATGGATGGAAATACAATGATTATCAGATAGTGAAGATTTGTGTGTGAATTCTTCTTCCTCTTGTCAATTGTAGGCACTTGTACCAACAACACAGCAGATGACTGCATGTTACCAGGTGGAAAGATCATAGGTAACTGTGAAACCATGGCAGATCATTGGGTGATTAATGACCCCGAAAAGCCACAGTGCTCTCCATCCCTAACTACTACAGAGGCACCTCCTATCACCCCACCAGCCTGCAAACCATCTGATCTCTGCAAGCTCATTAAAGAAGGGTAAATATACTAGACGTGTGTACAGTGGCAATCTGAAATGCAAATATTTGGTGTTGCTTCATCGTCTCTTGTAGCTGCTTCTGCTCCTTCTCTCTCTTCCATTCCCTCTTTTCCATTCCCTCCTAATCTGTTTTAATCTTTGCAACTTGCTCACTGCCTTTCAGCCTTCTTTAATGATTCTTTGGCCCTCTCGTAGCCTTCTGGGCTCCCTTGGCCTTCTCCAGCCCTTTCCACTTTGCTCCTCTTCCATGCTCTCTTAGTAGATGTTGGTCCCCGGAAGATCCCGAAGGGATCTTGTGCTTGAGTTTCAGGATGTGGCTTCAAAAAGAGGAAATTCCAACCAAGTCTTATCCACAACTCTAATTCATGGCTACGCAAAATTATATTCCTGCAGCTACTAGGTGGGAAGCATTATTTTGGAGAGAGAGTAGTGGGTGGATAGTCTAAAGATTAAGGTCTAAGTGGGTTGGAAGGCTGCACTCCAGCAAAATGTTAATTTATCATTGAGTCCTGTTCAAATCTTCCTGTATAGCATCATGCTAAAATATGGCATACAGCATATTAAAATGAGCACAGATCATTCAGTAACTAATAATGATACATGTTTCTGCTTCTAGCCCGTTCAAAGCATGCCATCCCTTTGTCAACCCTGACCACTACTATGCAGCCTGCGTTTTTGACAGCTGCGCTCTTCCCAACTCTAAATTGGAGTGTGCAAGTTTGCAAACCTACGCTGCTCTCTGCGCTGACCAGAAGGTCTGTGTTGATTGGAGAGGCCATACCCGTGATATCTGCCGTAAGTAGAGACATTTTTCTGCCATTTAACTTGAACTATTAGTTGTAGGGTCTATTTCAATTCCCCTTCCGTTTATGGGTTACTTGGCTCTCCAAGTCGCTAATGACTGTAATAAACCCCAAAAGCTTTATTGAAATAATTTTACAGGCCAGATTTCAAAGGTGGGGGAAATAGATGAGCCTGTAAAAATGCATGTGTGCTCATTGTGTGTGAAATGCTCTACATTTGTTTGAGCAAATGCCTGTGTGCCCAGTGTGTGGATTTTGCAGGCACAATGGGTGAATCTACATATTTAATGGGAGACAAACATTTTTTTGCTGGTGCAGCGTGGGAGCATTCCCATCTTCAAAAATGTGGCTCTAAGAAACGCTAGCAAACAAAAGTATTTGTATTCAGAAGATCAAATCCTGTCCTTACCCTGGCACAACAGGATGAAATGTTGCTTTGCATATGTTACTTAGTGTAAAATCACCTACCACTCAGAGACCGTGCAATACCTGTCTATTTGCAGGAGGGGTCATGGATAGATTTTTCCCTCTTAAGTCTGAGTTTCTGGGTTTTTATGGTTCTCAGTCAGACCTTCAATGTTATTGAATGAGTCTGACATATTTTTAAATCTATTTGTTTCCAATGTTTGTTTGAAGATTGCAAAAGGTGTACACTTGCTGGGCCTGCTTATGATGGTCTTGCTGAAATATTTCTTTCTCTGTATTTCTTCCATTCAAGCGCTTAAGTGCCCATCACACAGAGTATACAAAGCATGTGGTCCTATTGAAGAGGTGACCTGCAAGTCAAGGTAAATAGTTACTTTCCTGCCAGTCAGGTCCCCTGCAACTACCCACTGATAGATAATCCACAGAGAAGTATCCAATTTAACAATCTTGATTTAAAATAGAAATCTTAGAGACAGCCTTTAACTGGTTATCATTGTATCTGCCCTGGTATCCTCTCATACAGCTGAATCAAACACTGTATAGTGGAATAAGCGAAGATTAGAATCAGGATGATTTAAAATCTGTAAATTTCACATGTGCAGTTTCTTTTGCCCATACATTTCTGGATAAAATATATTTGGCCAACCTTCCACTGTGTGTCATTGATGATAATGGTGGTCTTTTTTGTCTCATGCAGCCAAGTTGCACAAAACCAAACCAGTCATGTGGAAGGCTGCTTCTGTCCTGCTGGAACAATGCCTTATGGTGGAGGTGTGGATGTCTGTGTAAAAACCTGCGGTAGGTTGTGTTACCATATTTAAATGCATGTGCATTTCCTTTTTGTTGTTGCCAGGTCATGTGCACAATATAGTTCTGAATCTGGCTACCTGTCATCGTATCAGTGGTAATGGAAATTTATTTTGCTCTGTTTGCAGGGTGTGTTGGACCAGATAATGAACCAAGAAAGGTATGTTACACATTTGCTTTTCCATTGCAAGTATTTTGTGTCTCCTCCATATCGGTCCTGTTTTGTATAGACTCCCAGGTTTTCATCCATGCACTTATTTGGTAGGTGAGTGGAATTTTGAAAATCCTTGATTTATATTTATCTCAGCTTGAGTTATACATTAGTGGGAGATATTGTCTTTAGACAGCTTCTGATAATCAGTTTCCAGACTACAAAATAGTAAATTTATAATTCCACTCTGCTCCCTCCTAACACATACATGTACACATGCTTACACTTAAACACACAGCACAGCCCATTGAAAACAACAGATTTATGTTCTTTCTATTCTCTAACTATTCATTCAGTTGCTTTCTTCTCTTTCTTTAACGACAGTTTGGGGAAGTTTTTGAGTTTGACTGTAAGAGATGCATTTGCCTGGAGGGTGGAAGTGGCATTAGCTGTGAGCCCCTCAAATGTCCAGCGCAAGCGGATAAACCAAGCTGCAGTGATGAAGGCTTTTACGAGGTCACTGAAGTCCATCCTGACAACATCTGCTGCAGCATAACTTCCTGCAGTAAGTTCCCCTTTTGCTTCATTTACAGCATTCCTCTGTCCCTCAAACTTTCTTTTGTAATAACAGTTGTATTATTCATTTTTGTTAAATTAATTGAGATTAGTCTGTGAAGCCCAGGCCAGCTAAATGCTTGGACTGAGCCTGGCCAAGTGGCATATTTCTCTCTGTAGCTGTTATTTTACATTTCTCTTGGCTTTTTCCCTTTGCAGGATGCAATGCGAGCTTTTGCACAACCATACCTCCTAAATGTAAAATTGGTTACGAACTTGTTTCTGATATTGCCACTGGCAAGTGCTGTCCTACGTATGAGTGCGGTAAGTCGCTTTTAAATATATGAGAACAGTCAGTATCGCACTTTACATGCTTGAGCATTAAGGTTGGTAGCCAATACTGTGTGCTTCTCTCTTGGAGGAGGCAACAAAACCAGGCTTAGATTCTAGGCCGCTACCATGGACGAGCCCAAGTGGTAGCTGAGAAAATGGTGGTGCAAAGTGGATTAGGTATAGCTCACCCTGGTCAGGTCATGTATTTCTGGTTATATGCCTATGTAAGAATAGTGGGATTGTTGACCGGGACTTCAGTCCTCCCATAAGAAATTGTCCCTATGAACTTTAGCGATTGGAAAGGCAGATGATCATTCCTGGATCGTTCCAATTAAACATATCAGGAAACGTTTTGCAACCATCCAGTGGACATCCTGGGATGTAAAACCTGGGATATAGATATTCAAACCAGACAGTCTTTCTCTTTTGCGGGTGCAAATTGTACCTTTGTATTTGTACACAAATATTTGTGTCCATGTATTGCACAATTTGCACTGCAAAAAGGGAATCTGGGTGATACTTTTGAATATTTGTGTTGTGATTATTTGTGGAGGAAATTTGCATGACTGGGATAATAAAATTTGGCACTTTCCTTGCATGTATAACCATACAACTTCTGCCTTATTTCACAGTTCCCAAGAAGGTCTGTGTGGTTGGGAATGCTGAGTACATGGTAAGTTTCCATTTCTTCATGAGAAGGACTCTTGGATGAAACATTTGAGTCCCAAGAGCATCCTTTAACTGAAGTGCTTTGAGGCAGTTTGCATTTGGTACAATTCATTTTTAGAGATCCCCCCGTCCCCAAACTGCAGTCAGGGATTTATCTGTTACACGAAGCCTAACCCTTTTCAAAGAAAGTTACTGCATGTAAGAGAGAATGAAGCACTGGTTCTAAGCAGCAGCACCATGGATGTAAAGATTTGTTTTTAATACACAATGTACATATCCCTAAAAAATCAATGCACATTTAACATCAGCACTTTGCTGCACTATGCTAAAGCCTCGCTGTCACAAATAAAAAGGGATGGGTAAGGGCCACATTCTGTACTGACTTGCACCCCTATAATTCTATTGGCTCCAGTAATTATTTTATTTATTTAATACAGACAGGTATTAAGTTACCCACTTCGTATGCACCATAATGCATGAGATGAATATTTGCCCTTTGTGTCTATATGTTTCCCTAGTGGATGTTTGTTTGTGGGGGGAAGTATTGGATATTAGAGATATGTCTCTCCTACACATCACGCCTTGCTGATACCAGAATTCTTGCTTTTTTTAAAAAAAATCTAGCCTGGTTCCCCAGTCGTTGCTGATAAGTGCCAAAATTGTGTCTGCACTGATAAACCGAACAATAGTGGTCTGAATGTCGTCACATGCAAGCGCATTCCGTGCAATGAAAGGTGCCAGCCAGTAAGTAACAAACTTTAAAAAAAAAATTCATGTATGTTTTCTTGAAAAGTAGCCATGATTGAGAGAGGTATATTCTAAGCAAAGGAATTCCTAGGTCCTAATTCCAGCTCTAACATTGGCTCACCTTGGGCAGTCAGTTTTCTGCATCTTAAGGATAGCAATAATAATACTCATGAGCATCATAGTCATGTTGTGAGGATTAGCTAACTGTGTTTTTAAAAATGCTTTGAAGATAAAGTGACATCTAAGCACAATGTAGTTATTATAATGCCTTTGTTGCCTCCTTTTATTTTCTACTTTCATTATCCCTTTTCTCTTCACTTGGTGATCTCCATCTGTTACAAAACGTGACAGATCTAGATTATCCTTAAAACCATAATCAGTGCTGCTATTTAGCTGGGTTTTTACAGAGAGCCTTAATCTGGTGCTCAGACTATTACATTTTTGTTTGTTTCTCAAGGACACTTTTAACCTAGTGCTTTTTTAATTCCTAGGGATATGAACTTAAAGATGTGAAAGGGGAATGCTGTCCAAAATGCGTGCAGACCAAGTGTATTATAAATAAGCCTGACAGCACCGTCGTCATCTTGAGTGTAAGTGTGCTGCTGTTCTTAGGAGTCTACCAAACATGTAGCATTCCTATTGTATTCCTCAAAGTGTTAACTGGGAGGAAAGACATGTCAGTTAGTGATGGGGGAAAGGAAAGGTTCAGTGGCTAAGTTCAGATGTGCATTTGAAAGTTCAGCTGCTCATCTGAAAGAAAGTCGTCTGAATTTCTCTGATCTGGAAGATAGCCTGATCTGACAAGATCTCCAACCTTTCTCAGAAATTCTATGAGAAGAGCCTTTCTTGCAGTTTTTTGACCAAGAAGTGGAAAGGTGCCAGAAAAGCTTGAACATGATTCAATTGTATTGCCCTTTTTGAGTAAAGGGCTATTCCTATTTAATATCTACCAGTTTACCCATCATCCCTAATCAAAATCTCACCCACTTATTTTTCCTTACCTCCAGAATACCCTAGGTCCCACACAGGGATTTCTTCTTTCCCAAGGAAAATTCCTTATGGAGCTCCAAAGATCCCCTCCACCCATGGAACCCCACAATACAGTCACTACCCTGCTAACCATGGCAGTTATTTGTCTAGTATTTTTATGCTGAGAAATTAGGAGAATCTTTTTCAGGGGCTAGGAAGATTTCTGTCTAAGCCCATTATGAATCCTTCCGTGTATGCGGAATTTCCTTTTTGTATACAGCCTGGTAAAACAGAAAACGATCCAAAAAACAACTGCACCGTTTATAGCTGTGTGTCGATCAACGGTCGGCTCATCTCCTCCACCTCAGAGATTACCTGCCCATCGTTCAATGAGGAGAATTGTAAACCTGTAAGTAAATTTGGGACATTCACCCTCATCCCTTATGACAACGCATTTTAGTTTGATCCAGCCACCTTACTATCAAAAGACACGACTGGGCAGAGGAGCTGCTATAATTGTTATTATTGGGGCTCAAATTCAGCTGGCGCTGTCTGGAGTGGAGCTCTGGTAAATATTTTCAAACCTGTGGGGCGTGCCCTGGTGTGCCCCGTGGCTGAAGCCCCGGCACCTCCTGCAGGGCTGAAGCCCCAAGCCCCAAATGGGGAGGGGCGTGGAGGGGCTCCGGGAAATAGTAGATAAGAATTTAAGCCCTGGGGGTTATGATTTTTTGTTGCACTAATTTACTTGAAGCATGCTTCCATCCAAAAAAGGGACATATGGTGCATATACTACATATTTATTGATGAGTTCTGAGGTTTATAGTAGGTAATTAGTGTCCCATGGCTTAAAAATTGACCAGTAGTGTGCTATAATGTCCTATCACACTATAGTCTGCAGGATCGAATTTGTATGAGACAGCATATTTTCATGAGTGTCCTGTAGGCACAGTGATTGCAATAAATAAGGGCTACCCCACACTTATTTCCTATTGAAAGTATTAGGAAATACTGTGGTATGTCAGATTAAACAGCATGGAATTCATGGTAAACAGTAATTTGTAAGTGGTGACCATTATATGTCACAAGCCTTTTCTTCAGAGAATTACATATTGCAACAGATTCCATTGTGAATTCATAGATATTAAGGCCAGAAAAGACCATCATGATAATCTAATCAGACCATCTGCATAGTACAGGCCACACAATTTCAACCAGTAATTCCTGTCATGGAACAAATTATTTTTCCCCACTGTGCATGCAGAAAATTTCAAAATACAGATAATTTTGATAATACAGATATTTTTTTCTGATTTGTTTTCAGGGCACTATTACACTGCTGCCTGATGGTTGCTGTAAAATATGTGAGTATAATTACCCAGTGTTCATATAGTCACTACAAAACAAAATGGGGACCGATTTTTCCTATCTAAAAGCTATTGCTAATATATATTAATTTAAATAGATGCACGTACATTCACACTAGTTATTTTGTGGAGCACATAAACTGTGCTCAGAACAGAGTCAGACACTGACTCTGCCTCAAGCAGCTTTCAGTCTAAGCTGAGAAAAGTAAATTATTACTTTGTTACTGTAGGCTGGCAGAAAAGGCCTTGGCTGAGTATGTGGTCACGTAGCAGATTTTGTTGTTATTAATAAATCGGTGCTGCCATAGAGTGGGCTTTGCAGCAAAAGTGCCTTTTGAGACAGGAAAAGCAGGTGAAGGAAAGGACCTAACTCAATGGCATCAGAAGACATTCCTAATGTAGCTCACCTACTGTATTTATATGTTTGGGGGGGTTTTCTGCACTTTCCCTTCTGACTTGTTGAATTCAGTGCCTAATGCAGTGAAGTAGGCCATAGAAGTATCTAGATAAGAATTATACGAGTTTTCTTTTCGGCCTTGGGTTTGAAACTCTGCCCTGTAAGCTGGTATGTTACAATTCCCTCCAGCAGTTTATTTGACACATCTCTAATAACTGGCTACTGCATGTGGCTTGGCAAAACATGCACTTCAGCACTGATTTGGACACTAGTAACATGGATAGCACCAAACAGTAATCCTTCTGAAATCATTGTTTTGATTTAATCAGCCTTCACTTTTCCCTCCACAGACTCCCAAACACTCTCACATAATTTGATTTTCTATAAACCTAAATAATATATGATAAATGAGCCATTCTCTCTCTTCCTCGCTTGTTTCATCATTTCCTTTGCCATTCAGTGGCTCCAATGAGGGACATGTTCAATAGACAGTCTGTCCTCCAGGCAATCAATAGAGAGCTAAAGTTTAAGGGGTAAAGCTGAGTGCTAAAGTGTTTGGCCTTTCTGGCTATTTTGGGTATTAAACACAGTTGTTTCAAAGCATCAATGACTCTCAGCCTGTGATGAAGCAGCATGGTGTTTTTGGAGCCATTTGATTGAAAGGCATTACCATTCTTTTCTCCCACAGGCATCCCTCGCGACAGCCCATCACCATGTTCTGTCACCCATATCGAGGACTATATCACCCATAAGGGCTGCCGTTCTGTGGATAAAGTCTACCTGACTCAATGTGAAGGATCATGCGGAACCTTCTCATTGTAAGTAAATCAGACAAGGAGACTGTTTCTATAAAAGGGACAATACATAGCCAGGCTGAAGAATGGTAGAAGAGCTAGAACTGGCTCAACTTCCAGTCTCATGAGTACTGAAATTTGTAACTGGTTTGGTGAAACTGGCTAAAGGGTTGATTCACCTTAGTAATGAAGTCCAAAGCCAAGGGACACAGGGGGCTGCATCTTTGCTTCCAGAGAGTTGTGTTGATTCCTTATTGCCTACAAAGCGAGAGCCAGCTAGGGTGACCAGATGTCCCTATTTTATAGGGATGGTCCCAATATTTGGGGCATTTTCTTCTATGGGTGCCTATTACCCCCCACCCCATCTCGATTTTTCACACTTGCTGTCTGGTCACCCTAGCCAACTCACTTGTCATTTGTGTTAGAGCAACTTGGATATGTGGCATTGAGTTCATTCCCATTGCAGGAAATATCCCAATGGTAGCCATGTCTGAACTTCAACAGCAGAGAAGCTACTTTCCAATGATGAACATATAATGGGAGGAGGGAAAAGAGAGAGACTTTATTTAAATACACTTTGTAAGAAGGATTCAGAGGGAGACACTTGTATAAAGAACTGAAAAAAATGTGTGCTCAAGGGCTGTCCGTGACTCCTGAGATAATGGAGTCAGCATCATTGCTCTGGAGTGAGAGAACTTTGAAGAAACCAGAGGTACAGCTGCTAAAACCTAGCAAGAAACCTAGAATACAGCTGCTGAACACCATCTGACAAATGAAGTCTATAACCGTAATTTCCCACTGGAATGATCCTTTGCAGCCTATCACTGAATACAATTGGCAGCCCTTATCTGGAGGAAAACCCATGTTTAATCAATAAGGAAAATGAATTACAAATTCCTCATGGGGATTATTTATTTGTACTGCTGCAGTACTGACAGGCCCCAGTTAGGATCCCGATGGGGTAACCACTGTATATAAACATAAAAAGATGGCCCCTGACACAAAGAGTTTACAGTCTAAGTTAGGCTGAGCCTTACAGGATGGTTAGGGCTGGTTTCACTGGAAGGATGATGCAGGGAGGCTTATATTGAAGCTGGCTACACTACATCTGATTGCTGTGAACAGAAAGTATCTAACTTAAATGGTTTGGGGCAAGGATTTCAAAGGGGCCTAAGGAAATTGGGCACCCAACTCCCAGTGACTTCCAATAGGAGTTGGGTGCCTAATTCCCTTAGGCCCTTTTCAATATCCTGCCCTTGATGGCTTGGTTTTTAAAACAGCAGACGACATTATACTTGAACCTGGGTGCCTAGCATTCCGCCAGCTGGGCTAAAGGAGCAGCTCCCCTAACTCACACCATCAGAGGGCCCCTTTTACATATTATTCCCAATTCCTTACAGCAGCTTATTCACCAAAATTGCTCATTGTACTTCATTTCACTCTCTCTCTTTCTCTCTCTACTGCATGCCAGCTTATGGCAAAGTGTAACGGTATCTTTTCCCACACTAACAAACAGATACTCTGCTGAGGCCAACTCCATGGAGCACAAGTGTTCCTGCTGCAGGGAGGCAGCAACTAGCGAGAAACAAGTTCTACTGGAATGCCCCGACGGGAAAAATGTGATTCACAAGTACCTGCACGTGGACCGTTGTGAATGTCTTGACAGTGAGTGCACACAACCCAGCTCCTCAGAAAAGTCAAAGGAAAGTGACGAACAGAGTGCCATCGAACGTGTCAAGCGGGCCATTCAGAAAATATTGAAATGAAGGGGAGAAAAGTAATGGCGCACAGAAAAAAGTACAAGGAGGGTCTATGCACCAGTCTAATCTTCCAAGAATAAATCAATGCTTTGCCTTTTCTCACTTCCTCCTCTTCTGTGCCCTCTCTGATTATTTGTAATTGTGCTCTATTTATTTGTATCTCTTTTGTTTAGTTTTAAGTTAGTTTCTTTTGCTTTAAATGATTAAAAATTCATTTCAGACGTGAGAGCTCTTTGTGTTTATTCGCCAGCACTCTTGAGCCTTCAGGGCTTTAAAGGGAAGGGAGATCTGTCCCAGGCCTAAGCAGTAAAGTGCCAGATTTTCTAAGTCAATTGAATAACTATTTTGGCTCTCTAAGCTCTCTATGTCTGTCTAATATCCTGGGATCAACAGAGCTACAACAACACTGCATACGACAAGCCTCCTGTAAGGATCAATCCAACTCCCACTGAAGTCAGCAGGAGTCTTTGCATTGATTTAATTGCGGGTGAGGGGATAGAAAAAAGCAGTAATGCATATTTGTGCAACATCAGAAGCAGCTATCATATTCCAGCTATGTTTGTGTAACCTCTGCCTAACCTACTCATCATGAATTAATACAATATACAACCTGGTTTGGCTTGATGTTCAACTAAGTACATCCAAGAGATTCCCACTTGAATACCTTCAATATTACCAACAAATTAGAAGAGATAATTTTCAAGGCAGATGAAAAATCCTGAAATCCTTCATCAGTTCCTTATTCTGGCAAATTCTTTTAGACTTAAAAGTGTGAGTAAATACAAAAGTAATGACCCCAGAATATGGTCTAAAGCATTGAGACATTGCGCAAGTCAGTAACACACTAGTTTAGTTGACTGAATTTATTGATGAGTATAAAATGAAGGTTTCAGAGTAGCAGCCGTGTTAGTCTGTATCCGCAAAAAGAACAACAGGAGTACTT